AAACGAGATGATGCTTCTTGATGCGATCAGCTAGACGCCTTACCGTTCGATCCACATATCTTGCTCCACAGGAACAGGTGAATTGATAAACGCAAAATGAGGTCGCATCCGGGGGTAATCCACCTTTAGTCTGCATGAAGAGGACCGGTTTGGACGTGAATATAATGCAGGGTTCAGCCGCAAAGTAGGTGAATTTGATGGAAGATTGAAGTTGTCTACTCAATACTTTCGCGATGGTTTCCCCCCTGAATGGGATGGAGAAATAGACACTCTTCTTATTTGCTGTGTCGCATAATATCTTGGAGGGATATGATGCCGTGCTTTTATGAATGAATGACTCAGGATATCCATTCTCTAGAAAAGCTTTTCGTATTCTTCCCAGTTCAAACTCAACAGAGTCTGAAGAACAAAGTTTCTTAACTCTATTTGTTAAGCAGCGAATCAAATATCTTTTCCGTTGCAATGGGACGAAGCTATGGTTGTGTGTACTGTCCCGTCCATTTTTTCTTATGGTGGATGCTTCTACGAATGGAGCCATCTGATCGTCGAGACAGTAATACGTCTACAAATGCAAGACCATTTGTCAGCATCGTATACACATATGATGTCATCCACATATCGTTTGTAGAAGGGGGATTCTTCTATGTGCATTGAGGTTACTCCGTTTTCTAATTTGGCCATGAAAGTGTCTGCTAATAGTGATCCTAATGGTGAACCCATGGCTATCAGTTTCAGAAAATAAGCACAGGAACATTGCGAAATACAGACATTTTGTTTATTTCCCTCAGCTACCGATGGAAAATAGATCGGTGGAATGAGGTGTACAAGGAGCTCCACAGATCAGATAGAATCGGGTGTTACAGCCTGACTAACATAAAAGCGAACTCAACAAACAGGTCGACTGTTTCTTTCTTGAACCGATATGTATTGACATGACGATTACGACTGGAGGAAATAAGTGAACTGCAGGCGTCTTACAACGTCTGTTTTGGTGTCTGTACTCGTGAACTTTTATAGGTGCTTGTGAGTAGCCTAAACTCTGGTTGCAAGCAAGTAGCTGAACAGTAAAGGGAGTAGTGAAGTGAAACCAATGAAGTAAGTCACATGCCCTCGTGCAACAACACACTACACACGATTAGCAAGGAATACATCTCAGGGAGCACCTGCTTACCATCAGTTCCTCGACAATCGAACGGCCTGCGTAGTTCGGTTGGCCTCACGCAGTCTCATACCACCGAGAATATCATTCAAATCTCTGGAGCCTCCCGAGCCCATTGTGGGTTCATACGGCACTTGTAAATGCCGCAAAGAGACGGAGACGCATGGGAACGCAGTTGCACAAAAACATATTGTCCCAGCTTCTGGTAAAATCCTGTTGAGCCCTGCCAAACACTCAAATAATTCACAACTATGGGTCCATGAAACACTATCCCGCTGATTCACAAGGGATTTTGATGGACTTTGAGATAATCGTTATTCGACATTATCTTGAGGACAGACAGTAACAGGACATCTGTAGATGAATGAAATAGGATGTAACTTAGTAGTTTCTTTCAAAATACCCTCCCCCACACGGGCACTAGGTCCAATAGTTAGTTTCATCTTCACTCAGTTGAATCCTGCACCACCTCGTCGGGACTCTATTTATTTCACCACCTTAAGCCTTGGTGCTTCATTGGCTTTTTCTCCTAGTTATATAATAGGTTCACTGGACGAATGGATTTGCTTATGCTGCTTCTCGTCACACAATATCATGTCATGTCATGTCATGAAATAGGTGTCAGCCACACGAAATTAAGTCCGACTCCCTTCCGATTGGTGCGCAATTTAGTTGCGTATGGATCAGGCTTCATGCTTTTCGTAACTGTCGATCGATGACCGCCAAGTAATCACGTATCAAGGCACAGAAAGACTCAACTTGACTTTACAATGTGAAATGTCTGAACGCTTAGCTTACGTTTTCAGATCACATGAGGGTTTGACGGTTACACATAATTACCTTTCGATAATCAACATCTTTTCCGAAGTTTTTTGTAAGTGAACAACTTGGACCAATCTTTGTGGAACCAGAATCGACGTACTAGGTCTGATTCCAATCCACACATAATCTATTAGGAGTAATTTACCTATTTTCTTTGTGGATTGACTATTACCCGAAAAGAATACTCAATTCTAGTCACAATTACCTCATTTGCAACGCCGGGTAAATTTATTTGGACAGCTCTTTCAGGAACAGTTCATTGATGACTCAATGCTATGATTTGATGTTTTTAGGTGGGTTAGATGCTACTCGCCGCAAAAAACGCGACTTAAACGTCTTTATGGAATATTTTACAGTAAGCTTCCAGGGACATTTTGTCCAGTCATTCATTCATTGCTTATCGTAAAGTACTCAATTCCATTAACGACTACATCTGGTAAACAGGGGCCATCAAGTGGCACCCTGAATATGCATTGTGTTCGTTGAGATTCATCAGAAGTGTGTCCCTTCTTGGACTCGAACCGCAAACCAACGGGATGGGAGCTGAAAACCCTTGTCCCTCTAAGAAAGCCCATGAACCAAAGACGGGCAGACACAACTAAAAATTGCCACGCGATCTGAGTGTTCTGTTTCTGTCTTCTTTCACATAAGAATAGGCAGAACAAATAGCATTGTCTAACAAGGTGACTGAACCGCCGCGATCGATAGAATCGACGTGCTGGCAAAATGCCAACCATTAGCACTTGCATCTACCTGTTTTAAAGTGGAATACAGGACTAAAAGTACATTGGTCTGCCAGGAATTAAGACTGTAAACCAAAAAGGTACACTTTCGGGCGGTATGCGTGGAGATTCGGTTGTTTTTCTCGTCCATAATGGTTGGCATTTGGTTGTACAGCTTTGCCAATTTAGGATGGAAATAGTTTCAGTCTGTATAATTTCCGTTACTTTGGCACTGCATTTCCATGTCAGACAAAAACTGCACGCATCAGTAAACTTGAAACTTCAGTGAAATGCGTCTACAGGCAGATGTATGAATCATCTAAATTACAAAGTTAAATATATATGTTGATTGTGAAAAGTTCAGTAGCCTCGGTGGGATTCGAATCCACGCATGGACGCCGCCTACGCTTTGTACGCGCATGCTCTACCAGCTGAGATAGGAGGCCACACCGATAGCACTGATCTTTCCACATTCGAATTTACCTTGCCTAACCGAATTAACCTTATCTTAGAAGCTCATTCGGTGGACTCCGGTGAATTCTAAGGAAAACCTGTCGGGGCAGTCGGCTTACATGCTAGCTGATAGATGCCACATGCATCTATAGGTTGGATGGGTAAATTCGAATATGAAAAGATCAGTGCTATCGGTGTGGCCTCGTATCTCAGATGGTAGAGCATGCACGTACAANNNNACGTACAAAGCGTAGGCGGTGTCCATGTGTGTGTTCTAATCCCACCGAGGCTACTAAACTTTTGACAATCGACATACAAACTTCAAATCTGTCAAACAACAATAACTAAATATGTTTAAACAAGGCTTTCAGAATCCCATCCTTTAAATTCGGTTACCGGTCCTCGCTGAATGTATAAAAAGCAAGTAAATTTGAATTGATAATCGATATACTGAAAAATCTACTAAATACGTCAATTCGTGACAAGTTTTGTTTCTTGAGCGCATTGAGTTCCACTCGAAATATGTATCGAATAGTTGAATGCTCGATCGAATCAAACTTATTTACAACGAATTAATCAACTGCTTTACTCTCACAGAGTCAGACGGATTCCGATCAGTTTCGGTTGGTGAATTGTAACTTCGACACGGACTGTAGATCCGATTGTGTGCTGATTTTCCTGTGGCCTTCTGTCTGTGATTTTGGTCACTCCCAGCCTCCAGTTTTTTCACTTGACGATTGTTTCAATATACCGTTCAAACTGACTACAGAGAAATGGCGATTGACCGTCGCTAACACTGTACTTTTAAATTACCAATCCGCCAAGTCTAGACGTACGCAAAAAATACAATCGTAACCCGTGTCTTCTTTGCCCACAAGCCTTGCATGCTGAAATGCACACTGACACAGCCCCAGTTTCTATTCGCTCCTTTCCGGGATGTAACCAGTTCGATAGTCTGAATACAAGGCCTGTAAGGAGAAGGTAATTTTAGCGTGCTTGAAAACGGAACAGAATGGTTGTCCATGGAAATCTCAAAGCGGACGTTGCATATCGGTAGGTGGGCGATTCGGTATTTGGCTTGGAGAATGCAAGCAATATCGATCGATTGATATAGATAATCAGTCATACGCGTAGGTGGATCAATTTGATCACAATCTCCGTTCTCCCCCTCCCTCTTTCCTAACACAGTTGTGCATCCTCTGGTGCTTGTCAAAGTCGAATGCGTGGATGCGCGCAGACTGCAATACGATGCAATAGCCTTTTGGCATGATGGACATCAATGCTAGACGGAACCCCTACGCATGTGTGTATGTGCGCGCGTGTGCTCGAGGGCACACGAACACGTGTCACCAATCCTCGTCTCTTCCTAAACAGCACCACATCCGTCCAGGATCGTGGGGGTGAATGTATTAAGGCCCAAATTGTGCCCGTGTATAGCACACAATCCATTCTTCGAATGAAGGTTAGGCAGTCAAACGGGCCGGTTAATTGAAAGCGGATTGGTTCAACCCTTACTAGGGCACAAATCCCACGCCTGGTAGCACACTGCTTTCTGATTGGTTCATCCTTGGGGATCGCACGACCTTTTTAATCTTTATTTGTGATCCACTGGAAGCCAGTCACAGTGTGTGTGCATTTACAGGCTCTCAACTCATCTGTTCTCGGTATGGCAAATCAACCGTTGGCCAGTGGACTTAGTGCTCAGGTCAAGAAGAAGGTAAGTCCACGATACCGATTTGTGTGCATTTTGAAAGTCTGTTGAGACCGATTCCTTGTATTCGGACTAGTCTATACACTTTGTGTACCACCTGTCTAAGGTGTTACGGGATGAAACCTGAACAAGGTTTCGTTTCATTCTCACTAATCCACAACATTTCGAATGCATTTTACTTGAACTATCGTGTCGAAAACTGGGAGGACTCGGAGAGTGATAATCATTAAAAATTTCACCCAGGCTTGTACCGCTTTAAGAGATCAGATCTATGCCGTTTTGACACGGCCCATGGAAGCCAGATATCTAATTTGTAGATTTGCAATTCTCAATTAAACAATTAAGCCGTTTGCTTCTGTTCCGGGTTAGACAAAACGATCAGTTCGGGCAAGGTGGGAACGCAGTTGGCTCGATCAAACTGAGCAGATTTGATTTATCGAGGGGAACGGGGGGGGGCGAAGGGAATGGAATAAACGAATTGAGCTCGGAGACACTAGTCTATGACTTACCAAAGATTGGAATTGATTTTTATCTCCGCCAGGATTGAACAAACCAGTATTTGTCCAACAAACATCGCCACACTACAGCATTGATAGCAATAACAATTTGAATAACAAAAATGATCAGTTACCAATAATAATGATAAAAAAACTATGTATCACATTATGTATTACAATATACATATACTAGACGTATCACGATGGTATTGAGTAACAGAGTATTTCTGTTTCTAATCCAGACGGGTTTTTAACTCTGTGGTTAGCACTGCGCTCAGAAATTTTCGCCGAAAATTATTGCAAAACATGACTATCTATCATCTGTTTCCTTGGCGGAATCATGATAGCTAGCTCGGGATAATGGTGATCATTACCGATGAGACATAGAAAGCTCCGTTGCGATGACAACTATTTTCCAGAGGATAATTAGCATCCACCGTGATCGTGAAATAGGTAGACCGGTGACACGGAGCTGAACGTTCGTAAAACGTGTGTCCATACTTCTTGCCTATCAGTGTTGTGTTACAAACAAAAATTCTTATTATTCGTCATCTGCTAAGCTCGGGTACACATTCGGCCAAGGGATTGATTCTTCCAGTTTGAGACCGCCTTTGCTTGCCCGTGAACTGTGCGAGTTATGTCACTCTATTTGTGCACTGGTTTCAAATCGAAAAGGCCCTTGACTGGTTGCATGCTATTGATTACCCGACGCATGCGCTTCCTCGAACGCATGCATGGACCCCGAGTACCTATACTAAATACGATACATGTGCAAATCTCCGAGCGGAGTGGCTTCCAAAAACCGATACTCAATAGCGCCGTTATCCATTCGGGGTTTTTTGTGCAAAACGCGAAGCGTAAACTCCTTGTTTCAAACCGGGTGTCCTAATCACTGTTGACATCAATTTCCGGTTGTCTGTTCGGGGAAAATATGGGAAATAAAATCAGTTTATGTGCATGACCAATTTATCGTTGATTGTTGGTTTTTCTTCGCCGTAACGGTGCTTTTATTTTCACTTTCGTTCGTGAATTTTCCTCAAAATTTATCCAGATAACATTCAGACGCGTTGATAAGTGTCGTACGAATTGAATCTTGCTTTTTACGGTTATTTAAATAATTACTTTAGAAGTTAATTGACTTCCCAATGAATTTACAGGTTGATTACCCGAAATTACAAAAAATGGAATGTGATTAGTAACCATCAAATCGAGATATTTGCAACGAAACATCACCTAACAATGATCAATGAATGATTGCCTCTGAATCAATTCCCTCTTCTTCTTCGCTATCTCTCTCTCTCAAACACACAAACTCGACCTCTATCCTCTTTCTGCCAACCTATTTCCCGACAGATTGAAGGTAAACGGGATCGAGACCAGGAAGCGCAAGCTCTGGAATGGATCGAAACTATTTTGGGCACCAAATTGGATCGCTCCAAGCCGTATGAGGAAATTTTGAGAGATGGCGTTGTTTTGTGCAAGTGAGTTTCCTCCGACCGCGACGGGTGCTCTCCCAGCAACCCTCTGCTATGATGGTGATAGTGGTGGTGGTCGAAGTCGAATTGAATGGCTACCACCACCTCCGCGCTCCACTTTACCTGTTTGACGAACGGGTTTCAAAAGCTGACATTCTCTATCCTGAAAATTATCCCTAATATTGTGTACTCCATTAAATAAAGTACAGCTTGCAGAATAATCTAGGACTCGTTGTGCTACGTTCTGTTCAGATAAAGCTACCCTCGGATGGTCAAGTGGGTAATGACGGTCATTTCCACTCTTGACATGTCGAGTTCGATCCCCAATTGAGTTAATCCATTCGAACTGTTGGTAACCAAGTCAAATTATTTGTACAAGGCGTCCGAGCTTTTCGGTTCGCCTTTCGTCTACCAACTTTATCCCGTAAGATGAAGCAGTTTACTCATCTATGCACTAAAATTGTATGAAATTATAAAACGTCAAACATTCATTCATTTGGTTGAAATACCAACTTCTTAATCAATATTTGAGTAATATCTATTGTGTGCACTTGTCGTTCACATAAACCTTTCCTCCACTTCCAATCCCGTTTTTAACAGTTTGAAGTCCTATTCAGTATTTTAAGGTGCTTTGATCAGTCAAATTCATCGTAAAAAGATCATATCATGTGGAAAATCGATTCAGAAATTTTAAAAAGATAATATGAGTCACATTAGGCATTTCCGTATGCGAACAGTTTTTCACTGATATCGGTTGGAATAGTTTGGTTTCATCAGATATATTCCAACTGAGATTTCCTCCACCAGTACGTCTTTTTATTCTCTTCAAACGCCTCATGAGGAAGAAGCCCGAAAACCAGAGTAAAGGTAAACGCTAGATTTTGCCCGATAGCAACATCCTCTTGTATTCCAGCAGCTCATTTTGATGAATTGAAGAGTTTTTGTAAGCAAACGAATATACACAAGCTTCGGTCAAACCTTCATGTCACTAAGTTATTGATACTTCTTTTCCCTTCGGTAGAATCAGCTGCTCAGTGGTCCTCGAATCCGATATATTCAATCCAACATGCGCTTAAAATCGGTCCCGAACTGGGAGTGCATAATTCTAGGGAATAAATGAAGTTTATTCCACTGTAACTCGAACATACGACGAAAAGTTCACGTTACCATCCAAAAAGGTTCGTATCTGTAGATAGATATCTGACTGTGGAAATTGAGCACTAAATACTATGGACAGGCTTAGCTAATCCGTTTTACTTAACATAAATTAAAGTGTAAAGTAACACATTGGTGCCATCTATTTCCGTTTATGGACATATTTATCCCCCAAAGATAACAGCATACAGCGATATTTTGAAACAAACAATCTGAAGACGAATTATGCCTTTTCTACGGCTGCCCTAATCCGAAATTGAACAATCGTTAATAGATGTGAGTGCTGCGTTCAACCTGAGGATGTGAACAGACAATATTCAAACGTGGATTTTTTTAGCTAACAAGCACTGGCTTTTTCATCATGCCAAAAAACAGTTCTAGCATACCAGTTTTTAACAGTTTCTTTTGCTGGTTAAAAGTCTTATCCGTTGTGCTGATATAATGAAAGAATTTTGACCAAGTTTCAAATTTTCATTGACGTTTCTATTGCCTTTATCATAGACTGATCAACAAAATCAAACCTGGCAGTGTGAAGAAAATCAATGAGAATTCAACCATGCCATTCAAAATCATGGAAAACATCAACGCTTTCCAGGAGGCTATCAAAGCGTACGGTGTGCCCACCGCTGATGTGTTCCAAACGGTCGACCTGTTTGAAAAGAAAGACATTTCCCAAGTGACACAATGTATCTTTGCCTTGGGAAGAACGGTAAGCCCATTGACTGTACACTGTCTTCACGTATTCTGGCAAAAGCTGTGCTAAGTTGTGTGTATCGGATATCAAAGCTTCATGCCAAGCTTGTATAGAAATATCATGATAAATTACGTACGAAAACAGCTAACCGGCCAGATTTACTTGGTTTTCAAGTGACTACTGTGGCGTTGGTGACACCCAAAAAGGGTGAAATGACTTACCATGCTTCGAAGCTTGTTTTTTTGGGACTGCTTGTGTTGGAGCATACAACAAATTCACTCATGGCAAAGAAGGAAATTGGATTGTGTGAACATATTATCCTCACGCCCCACAGTTTTGGTATTGGTGTTTGACTACTCGCAAGTAATATATGCTTTAGTGCGATAAAATGTTAACGGTTAATGCAATGCTAGGGATTTCTGTTTGATACGATTGACCTTGAAAGATATAATCCCTGTCGGAAAGACACAAAATTCCTTTAAGATTCTATCATTACTTCGGTATAAGAGCATTTAATAACTAGCTTCCTTTTCATAAATTTACAGTTAAATTTATTGCCAAAATAACGTACCCAATGCAATTAACCGTTGGTTCAACTATAAACGAAATTAGCCAAGTTGCTTTCCATTGATTCCGTTTGAAAAAACAATACAGTGCAACCTTTGACCATCCGGTACGTAGGGCGTGGATCGATATGAAAACAGTTTGTAAAAAATTGGCAAACAACGAATCAGAAAATGCTTGCGAGGCGGTACTGAAAGTCATTGACCATTTGCAGTGATCCGAAAGCCTTGTTTTGCGATACTCGTACATGGTATATCTTTCTTTTCACCTTTCGGTCCCACGTATGCCAACCCATGCCTACATGCCTAAATCTATTTTTAGATCACAATCACTAAGTCGGAGAACACCAAGCTGTGTTATTCTTAGAGCTGGGATGATCGAAGGGTTCAGGAGGCATATGCATATTTGTGTGTGTATGTGTGTGTGTGTGTGTGTGTGTGTGTG